GGGGGTGCAACCATGACAGATATTGGATTATTTGTAGGGGTGCGGAAGAAATGTGAGAGTTAATTAAAGTAACCCCTACTCTAATTACTACATATTAAACTTGAATGGCAAATAAAAACAAGAGAAATTTGTACTAAAAATAAAAAGACATAATATCATTTTTACATGAGAAATAAAAGATTTTCACTGCTTGGAAGCATTAGGTTATTTTATTTACCTGGTAGGTAGAATGCAAAAATGAATACTAATTTTTTTTTTTCTTTCTTAATATAATAAATAGTCTTATTCCATGAGCCTGAAAATTAAGTAAATTCAAAACTTAACTATGGTTATTTATTGCTGCTTACTTTTTTTTTATTTATTTCATCGAAATGGTTTTGTACCTTAAATGATTGTCTAGATACTTTTTACAAACATCTAAGATTACTTTTTTTCTGTGAAATATTTTTGCTCAGTATCATTGACTTAACATCAGTATCAGTTTTTACCCGTACGATGTGCCCATGTAGTGAACACACCGTTAAGGCGGTATACAACATCGCGGCCCGTCCGTAAGACGAGCAACGACATCGCCATTTGGCTTGGTCAACTCACAGCCGGGCCCTTTACAGGTTCCCCCCAGAAGTTCCTGAGGAGCACCGGACCACCCCTTTTTATATTTTTTAAATATTTTTAAATTTAAATATTTAAATATTTTTGATTTTAATGTTCCTTAATTTTCATGATTTGATCATTACAGAAGACCACAAACAATAATAATCAAAAAGTGACAAGGATAAACGCTATCATACGTACGTTGGATCACTACACCTAAATATTAAAAAGGGCTTGTCTCCAGTAAGTGTGCATTTTTCGTCCATTGTAATAAACAGTCAATAAACCTTAGGAACACTAACCATGAGCGCTCCATTTTTTAAATTATGACGTCTAAAGTTACAACCCTTATACCCACTATCTCTAAATACATCAACCTTAAATTTAAGCTAGAAAACTCACCAACCATAAACAGTTGACTGACAATCCCTAATTTTGAAAATCTACAACATAGACACATCTGTTTCACGAATGTTAAGGCCAAAACTCCCTACTTAAAATTCCCGAGGCAAAGAATTCCATATCACAAGAACTCTAATTTTCTGAACTTGTTACTTCATATAAAAAAATAGTTCTTAAAAAAAAACATCAATACTTCATGATAGAGCTTGTTAAAGTAAGTGTTGCACTTTATCATGCCAAGACTAGAGCAACACAACTTGTACATTAAAATCTTAAGCTCTGTATTCTAGTTCATTGAACACGATAACTAGGAAACAGACAGGCTACAACTTTTGCAATTTTAAAGTGTTACTATATATTATACTAATAAATTCTCAAAAAATTTTTGTACATACATACCTCTGTCCACAGTGACATTGCAATAATCATCGCTAAACCAACCACCGCACAGTGCGGCCAATTCCCAAAAAGCTGGCCAAAAGTCGAAAAAAAAAGTATCTAGTTAGGGAATTTTTTTTCTTGGGTTGTCATTATAATATCCCTAAGGGTCTATAACCACCTATACATTTGACTATATCTTTTTACCTGCTCCATAGTAGTAGTTGCAGTTCTACCTTTATTCGAGCAGCATTGAGAGTGCTATCGTGTTAGNACAGTTTCATTCTTTTATTTTTCATTCAGAAAAAACCATGTGCCAAATTTTCCCGAAGCAATTGGTAGCCTTAAAAAGTGTCTGCAAGCACAAAACAATCCTGTGCACCCTTGGCGAAAAAGTAGCGTTCACATCTAGGGCAAAAATGTATAGTATCTGTCTTCCGGGTACCTTCATCGGACTTTGTGCTCACGGTATGAAAACTATTATTTATTTGCGTAAAACATATTTTATATACACCTATAGATATTACATAAAATTTTTGCATGTGTAATTTTGTATATTCTATTATTACACAGCTCAACGTCCATACGCGAATTGATAAGTCATTGTTTATAGCATTTCAAACAGCGGAGACAGCGAAAATAGGTCCTAAAAACAGCAACCGTTGTTGATGCACGTGACCTTCGTCTCAAGGTCCTGTAAGCCTTCCAACCCCTGGAAAGAGAAAGCTAGCTTCATACTAAGTATAAGAATACTATTGTTTGAATTTTAATGAACAGGGCAAATTACATCAATATTGGTCAGTAAAACTCCTTATATTAAGCAGCTTTACTTCATTGACGATTCTGTTGCCTCACTCTGCTCCCAGTTGATGAGAATTCTTTTTTGTTTTCTTGGAGTTTACGATACATAAAACTATATTATTATTCTTTAAGCTTTATTTCTTTAAATAACCCTCCAGCTTCGAGTTTAGTTTTGACATAAGCATCACCTTCAGGTTATTCTTAGCTTCCCCTCTGTCTTACTTTCAATTATTATACGTGAATTATGTGAATTTTACCCTTCACCTTCTTTTCAAATTGTAAAAGATATATTCCGATACAAAATACTTTCAATAAAAGAAATTTTCATCCCTTGAGAACAGCGTTTTCCACTCTAGGACTCAGTTTCCACCCACCAATAACTTTTGGCTAACGGGCAGGAAAAACATTTTGTCTTAGGGCAGAAAGTAATCGGTGGGTGGAGAGTGTGCCCACAAGCACGAAATTTCTCTTTGCGCCCTCGATAAATAAACAGTCGTTCGTATCTTAGGCAGAAAACAGAGAACAATCATGCCCTCCAGGCGTGCAAGTGTACTTACTGCTCTAGTAAAGAGATATACTATTTTTTACTTTGGGTGTTTTTTTACATTTGGACGTTTAGTACACCCTCAGTAGAAAAAATAGGGTTTTCAACAGGTGTGCATTCGAGCAAGGCAAGCACAAGAAGTTTCTTGGGCCTGATGCATGCCCTGGTGGCATTCGCGATCAGATAGGAAAAGTATCATTAAGATTTGATACGATAATTTGGTTTCCTAATGTGAAATAATAACTTTAAAAAATTAAGAAATATTTTTTGAGAGCGCTTGAACGTAGCAAATCAATTTTTCGATCAATTTCGTTTTCTTGAGGATTACTTTTTTGTAGTGCTGTGTGCATTTGAAGTTTTTTTTTCGAATAATTGCATGAAAGAAAACAATCTGTTAAAAAAAATGATAACTCGCTGACTGTTGGTTCTACGAAGATTATCCAAGATTCAATTTAATCGTTTTTCGGTGCTAATGTTGTTTCTCAAAATGTTTTCTTCAGAGTTCGCATGAGGTTTCAGATACAGAAATCTTAAGTTTTTGTGATGTGGGATTTTTTACCTTAAAAATTTTGGGTTTGGGGTTTGGGGTTTGTGGCTTTAGCATTTGTAAAACGGATTTGCCTAAGCTGTAGATTTTCAAATTTTTGGATTGTCAGTCAACTGTTTGTGGTTAGTGAATTTGTTAGTCAGAGATTACTAAATTCCAGGTTCATGGGTTCGGAAGTTGTAGGTGTGAGAGTTGTAGCTTTGGAAGTCATTAATTTAAAAAACTATGGGCTTGAGGCTAGATTGTTAACGTTAATACTTTTGGTATATTAGTATAATTCATTTAATATGAATAAGGTTTTTTTTACGTATAAACTATTTGTTTAGCGTTTATTAAAATTGACAAAAGATGCATACGTACTGGAGACTATCCATAGTAAGATTTGGATGTAGTGACTCACAGTACGGATCGTAGCGTTAATGATTATAAATTTTTTTTATTTTTACTTGCAATCTTTCGTTATTGATAAGTCATCATCATTAAATAACATTAGAGTTAGAAATTTTTTACAGCAAAATAGTGTTAACATATATTTGTAAGAAGTATCAAAACGTTCCGATTAAATAAATAAAAAACGTAAACATCGAGTAATAACAAAAGTAAAGTTTTGAACAAGGTCAGTAAGTTTTTTGACACGTAGAAAAAAAAATTTTTATCATACAAACACCACTATAATTTATTTGCTTGTACCAAATGCTATTGACAAAGCTGTAGTATACAATATAGTAAATAGTCAGTGATGACTTACAATTCACATAATTTTGTCATTTAGTGATACGCATTCTATAATTTATAAGACTATTCAAAACTACAGCAGATCACAATAATTATTATTATTTTTTTTTTTAATGTTATAATAAATTAATTGATGACAAACGTTGAATGTTATCTTATTTTTATAGGCTTACAGGTCAATGTAAAAAGTATTTCATGATTTATAAAAATGAGGAGTATAATGTGTTTTAGTGTTAACTAATAATAATAAAAGTTAATCATTTTATTAGAAAATTTAACGTTGTTATTATTCAAATAAGAACTTTTATGACGGACTATAAGTAATAGTTTTAAAAATTAGTACTACACTTTTAAGTTCTTTTAAACGCACTTTTAAATAACATATCAGTATTTGTTAATTATATAGACTGGTGAATTGTATATGGTAATAACGCTTACAATAATACATAGTTTGACCAGTAAAAAAAAAAATTTGTTCTACAACTTACACTAAGGAAACAAAAAACTTGGGTTTAAAACAAACTGTAGGTGGTGGATGATAATAAGTGCCCAGTTCAAATGAATATATTTCACAACGATTTTTTTAATTTTCAAATGGTAGAAAAAGATTATTCTACTGTTGTGCTTATGTAAGAGTAGTCCAAGTAAATGGAAAAAAGGTTTATCAGCATTACTGTATTTATTTCATGGCACTACTACAATATCTACAGCAACATTACTCATCACTTTATTTTTTAAGTAGCATAATTCACAAAATTTACTTTTTTAGATCCTGCTTGAATAAAGTCATTACAATAATATGCCTACTAAGAGAAACTTTCTGTATTTTTTCAACAATCAAAGAAAGTAGATAACTGCATTAAAATAAGAAAATAACCAGTGCACCTCGATAAGATTATGAAGTTTGACGTTCAATCATCTTTTAGCTACTGTAAATTCGAAACATTATTGACAAGACTTATAATTATAATTGATAGTATTACAAAGTTTATTAGTTACCTTATCCAGAAACTGCTTGAGTGTTTTTAAATTGTCGAGATATTTCCTTAATTCTTCTATAACGGTGTCAAGCTCTAACTGTCTGTCAGACAATTTAACACCAAGAAGCTCATAGCGATTGTTAATTTCTGATAACTGCTGTTGTATGAGTGACAATTCTTCTAAGTGAAAGCCGTCCTGACTAGAACGTCTACTACTAAATCCACTACTATCATTTGGAGAAACTGGACTTTGAGCTGTATAAGTCTTACTGGGAGAAGGAGAACGATCATCATGAGACATCTGCCGTACTATAGATATAATAAATAAATTTTAACAAAATGCATCTTCTTATTGGATTGAAGTATAAAATAACAATTTTTTAGCTAATTTATTTACCATCATTTTAATATTAAAAAGAATTTGAGATAATGTCTGTAAATATTACGTATAATTTTTTTTCAAGTTTGTAATCATCATACAGTACCAAAAATTGTTACAGTAGTCAAATTAAATAATTTAGAAGCCGTTGACTCTACTTCCAGAGTATTTTAAAAAATTACACACATTTTGAAAGGCTTAAAAATGTGCGAACAAAATTTAAAAGAGAACAAAGACCTCATAAGAACTATATAAACAATAATCAAATTGTGCACCATGCTCAATAGCTAGGGAAAGCAAAAAATAGATGCTTGACTGTCATCATTATTCATTTCTACTAACAGTTGGAATGATGCCAAAATTTTTTTTGCAACAACACACAACCAGATAATCAAAGAGACTTAAAAATAACTACAAACGTAGTAGTATGAACTTATAATACTTGTTATATTATAATAAAATTATTGTAACTTGTTGGAATCTTTTCGTGGTGATTACAAAAAAAAAAAAAAAAAAAAATTACATGCAGCTACAAACATATAAAATGCCATCATTAATAAAGTAACTTATTGAAGCCACGTAAAAATAATATTGAATAAAATATAATTACTCTCATATTGCATCTTTACAAAGAAAACGAAATAACTTTCTACCGATTTGAGAAAGGTATTATATCTGTTTAACTGGATGATAAGTAATTTCATTAAAAATGGAGTTTGAATAAATAACAAAAATACAGTTTATAATTAACAATATTATAACAAGTTCCTTTTCAATGTATCGTACATGGTATTTGTGTGTTTGTGGTTGCACAACTATTAAGAGTCTCTTTCTTAAAACTAAAATCTTGTACGTACCCATTTAGTGATTCACCTATTGCAAGTTTGTAAGAAGTAAACACATGATTTAAATATAAAATTATAAATTTGTTTAAGTTTCATATATTAGTACATGTAGGTAGCTTAGAAATAAGATTTAAAAAACTAAAATAAATTAAGGATGAATTGAAATCGAATATAATTTCAAAATGTTTGAATCATCATTGAAAAATAAAATTAAAAAAAGGTTTATATTTATTTTAATAAACGTATGAGTTATTTTTTAATGTTGTAATATAAAAATAGGTATAAAAGGAAAGGTATAATAATAAAAAGGAAAGGTATAAAGTTTTTATTTTTAAGCGTCTAAATGTGTAAAAAAACAATATAGAAGATTCAAAAATGTGATACTATTAAAAAATTTCAAGAACTCATGATTACTTTTTATTTCCAGCTTCTAAGCTATAAGTCAAGATTATTTAGTAAGAACGAACTAAAAATTTGATGCTTTAGCTTAAGAATTCAAGAATGTTACGAGTTTATACTTTAAACCTCTCTTAGTATCCCTTTGCCATTCCTGTCTAATTAAGTTATTGAAAAAATGTACTATAACCCATAAGGTATGGATACTGATTTTCAATTTAATATGCAGTACAAAGAATTTTCTTTTTCAAAAAATGGTTCTTGTACTAAAAAGACATTACTTAAAATGGGTTTTATTGCATTGTCATTCTAGTATCATCTATAAAATTTCTCACGTATCTACGTGAAACTGGTTAAATCTTTCCCTTCACAAATCACTTACTCTATTATTTTTAATCACGTTTCACTCAGACTCCTACTTCACACACAAGTTTCATAGCAATTTTCATGTTATTATTAACACTCCTAACTGTGCATTAAAATAAAATAAAAAATTTCCAGTTTTACTTCTCGTGTATGAGATGTAGTACAATAAATACGTGTAAAATATCACATACCAACTAATAGTACTAATAATTTCGTTCGAAAATTTTAGTTCTACATTTATGCTTAAAATTAAGCATATATGACTATGTAATAAAAAAGCTTTGGTTCACTTTTTTTATGTCTACGCTCCTAAAGCTTTGTTGGTAAGGACGAGGATATTACAGTGAAATATTTCAATGTGTATCTTATAGAATATATGGGGTTAAGTAAGAGGAGGTAGGTGAATGCAGATGTGCGATGGATAACTCTGTCATTATAGCATTACCTGTAAGTGTGACTATCAATAAGTACTGTTGAAACTGATTTCAATTCAAACTGATGCCATGAAGAAGTAGAACATGTAACGACTTCTTAAAAGTAGCTCAAAAATAACATGATTCAAGGAACAGATGGTAAAAACAAGAGCTATCGTTTGGGTAAAAAAATGAAAAGAGTCAAAAAATGTTGGCTTGATCATAGGGCTATTGACAGACACACAGCAAAATCGCAGAAGCAGGATCAAAAAGTCTGACTTATGTAGAAATCAAAAAATTAGAGAACATGAGTTATACATTAAGAAAGATGATGGAGATAAACAAAAAAATGATCAAATCATTATTCTCGAGCTTTACTAATAGAATAAGTAACCATGACACCGAAAAAATAATACGATAATTTGGAAAATCACCAGCAAATTATTTTTCATATTATTAAAACCTTTAAAGTACTTGTTTCCGAGATAAGCTATTATCTGGACAAATTTGGACAAATTCTCCCATTTAACTTAATATTGGCAAATAGTACACTAAAGCGGACAGAAGAAGGCCCTGTTTATCAAATAAATATCAATTGGCCTTTGTCAACTTTGTCATATTCACTTTTAGAACAGAAAAATACCCAAGTTTCCTTGCAATAAAATTCAGCGAAATAAAAAAAGTTTCCTGCTGTTAAAATATGCTTATCAAAAGATAGCTGCAAGCTTGCTCTATTTGCTCCACAATTTAAAGCTCCAACACTATTACGCACTCCTTTACCATAGGCAGTGGCATAAAAATACCACTGTGAAACTATTCCAAAGAACTTTTTGTGGTTTGCAAAGAGTTAAATATTAGTTTCATTTTAAAAACAATAATCTACGCCATCACTTACAAGATAAATTATCTTTTGGATGAGTTCTTTTTTAACGTAAATAATTATCATCGTTTTATATTGACATACAGCTATTGTGTCGTGAGTCGGGTAAAGAGATATGACAACTGATCTTCTGTGTTTTAAACGATTATTCTTGCCAAAAAATTATAAGAATTTAATTTTATCAATTTATCACCAAATTTATCTAAACAATCATGAATCAAGATGGTAGGTTATACAATGGTGCAAACAATCTGATTTTCCCCAAGTTTCCACTTGATATCACAGATTTCATTCCCTATCAAGAATTTTCGCAGCAGCTTCTTTGACCTTCTATTTTGGAGCTATCTAAACTGTTTAGCAAGCTATTGACCAATAAAAAACATTTTTCCGTAGAGCTTTGGCATATCATTGCTTTAATACAATCTTGGTAATCTTGGGTAGGTGTTGCTTGATTTTAAGTAAGATTTTCTAAATTTATAGGCTGTAGCTATAATTCAACATTTTTATGATAAACGCAAACGCACACGTTGTGAGTTTTACTGGTATCTACTGAAACACAATATTTTGTCAAAGCCACGAGAACTTTTCGTAACCTCCTTTTATTTTTTTATTCTCTTTCTGAAATAATGTGTAACTCATTTTAATGTTCTAATAATAACCGCTTGTAAACACTTTTTTGATCTCCGTTGTTATCTTTTACTAAAACAACATCATTCATACCGGGTATGAGACAACTTACCTTATCTTCTTCGTAAAACTCTTTAACTCGTTGCTCTATATGGATGTCAGGTTGCTTTTTTTTCTTGTCAGGCCCAGAAAAATTCCATGCTTATCAACAAGATCAAGAGCATTTCTAGCTTTACGCTATTCACACCCATATTCATCTATCACATCTTTTATATTTTAAAATCTCAGTCCAACTGTAAGTAGTAATAGTAGTATTCTTATTTTTTTTCCCTTATTATCAAACGATTTGAACTTTTTAGTTATAAGCTTTAATACGGCTACTTCTGTTTTAACGTAGTTTTCATTACACTTTTATTGTTATTTCTGAATTTTAAATAATTCTATATTATACTAAAGACAAATCATCGCATCTCTTGGTACTACCAAAAAAGCATCTTAACAAATTAAGGGACACTTGACAAGACTTTTTTTTAACATGGTTATGTTCCACCAAGGGCTCTATCACGACTTTCGATATCTCGCAAAAGTCAGTATTTTTTTCGATAATTTACATAAAATTATGGTTGTGCGCATGCGCAGTATGAGAACTATCGAAAAAAATACTGGCTTTTGCGAGATATCGAAAGTCGTGATAGAACCCCAAGGATTACAGCACTTTACCATCGAAATTGGATCGTGATAAATTAAATATATTAATTCACTATAATAACGACAAAAAAAAAAATAAGCAAATGAGTAAGAAAATAAATGCTAATTATTGATAAATCTATTATACAATTATACATATAANGTATACATATAAACACACATATACATACCCACATATATTATCCTTAACTTTAGAATTGTTACAATTAATACGCGGGGATCTTCTAAATTTCAATTATTTGGAAACTACTAAGGTTTAGTAAAACTTTTGAGTGTTTTTAGTATTTTCAGTAGTCTTTATTCAATAACGTATTTATGTGTTGTAAAAACGGTTATCGGAGCACAGAGCGCGATCGTTGTTGATTCTTTGCTAGTTGAGAAGTATCTGACTGATTATCTTTAATAGCAGAGAGAATGACTAAAGTTAGCTATGTATAAATACATACAAGTAGTCTTTATCAGTATCAGAGTTATTAAGATTGCATTTGTAAACATTTATACTAGACTGACCGTTAAAAGTTACTAGAATAAAGAGATGAGATAAAAAATAAAAGTTCTGAAATTAAAGTGTGCATAAATAAAAAGTAAAAGTTACAAAATTCCTAATTTATAATTCAAAATAAGAAAGCAAAGTTACAGTTATTACAATTCTCGGAAATCTGATTATTACATTGAACGAGCTATGCAAAGAAAAG